AGCCATTGTCATTATCTTGGGCCTAGTTCATATGGATAATTTCGCTATGATTTCAAGCGAGGGAAGAACGCTGTGATTCGTTGTAAGAATGTTTAGTATACGTAAGAAAAATCTCCTGCGAGAAAATATGCCAAGAATTTTTTTCACAACTTCGCCAAAAAGACAAAACAAAAATAATCAAGTGGCCGAAAAAAATTTGCCCAGCCATTTTGCTGTCGGTTTTGCATCTGTCCCTCTCAATCTGAATCATTACTATATATTATTATATATAAGAAAATAACTCCAACATGATTAATATTTAATTTATAGATATTATAGATATAATATTTAATTTATAGAAAGATACGCATAAGAGCTGGGAAATATAAAGTTACAACAATTTAAAAGGAACTGAAGATTGTGTACGGTAATATATATATATATATATATATATATATATATATATATATATATATAAATTTATATAAGAACGTTATAATAGTAATAAAATCCCTTCTCTAGATATATTGATAAACAGTAGTTATTATCATAACTAATCACTATCTTCCCATATAAAAAAAAAACATCAGCTTACATTAGTGCACTCTTGCCTATAAATATGAACGTACAAATTATTATAAAATAGCAATTATAAAAAAACCTAATAAAGCGTGCAAAAACAATTCTTCCACAAAACACATTTACGGCGAACTACACACATAAAAGAAACTCTATTAATAACTTTTCTAATTATATTCTTGATCAATAAATAAAATGCATAATCGTTAATGCTAATATAAAGGAAATTGAATATAAAACTAATTCAACTAACTCCAAGCGTATTACTCTTCTATATAGCATATCCTAAAAATAGTAATAAATACCAACATATCCACCAGAGATGCTAATAAAAAAAAATTATTAATTATCTACTACCCTAAATCCAGTATATTCCATTTAACCATTCGTAACGACTCTTCCGCACCAACCAATGTGCTGCAGAAAAACAACATTATATATAAACGGAAAAAATAATATTTATGTTGGCCATACTACAACCACGTTGTTTAGGCTGTTGAGTTTTCATTTGAATAACATCTCTAAACATTTTAAACAGCATGCTTTTCCACATTAGCAATTTCAAAAAATAATCGTGTCAAAAATACATCGATACATTTTCATGAAAATTATAAACATTAACTAAAAATCCTTGAAGCTATCTGGATTAAAGAAATTGAAACCAAACCCTTACAAAATTAATTACGAATACTACACAAATGTTCTAAAATGCTTACAATAGATAAACTAAAATATCAATATATTAATAGTTTCTCACAATATTTCTTCTTTTTCAAAAAAAAACTCTTCACATATCACGATTAGTGACCTCCAATAGAGCGTAAACATACACCACATGGCACAAAATTAACTGTCCTCACTCCAAACGTAAAGTTATAACTTTCCGATTAATATTGTGTTAATATCGATAGTACTCGGACTACAGCAATTTTTTATCATCACTGTAATTTTCTGAATATGAATGGCTCCTATTGAAAATAAGAAGACAATATATATATATATATATATATATATATATATATATATATATATATATAGTTTATGAAAACTAGGTAATCCGTATGGATCAACCTAAGTAGGATAAAATCCAGAGAGCTCAATGTAAATCCAGAGCAAATAATTTTAATAAAAACAGACCAGTTTAAGGTTCCATATAATAAATTATTTCACCACAGCCCTTTTAAAGGACTGCGGATCATCAGACTTTACTTCTAAAGGTTGAAACAAAAAATGAAAAGAAATTTACACATTTTTGACGGGCCTTATTAAGTATATGTAAATTAACGAAGTGAGGAAGTGAGGGGGGAGAGAGAAGACATGAGTGAGTTAGCAGACATTGACACATTTAAACGGTTAACTTAACGAAAGTTATATATTGATATCGAAGGGGTAGAGGAGAAAAAACCCATAGAGAGAGAAAAAGAGAGAAGGAAGTCATGAGAGAAGGTGTCATTAATTTTCTTTGTAAAAATAAACAAAAAAAAAAACAGGCTAGAAACAGACTGTTATTTTGTATATTTATATATATATATATATATATATATATATATATATATTCATGAATTATTCATACAAAAAACAAATACAGATGTTAATGATTTAATTGGCGAGAAATCCATCATCGCGAACAATTCAAATAATATACAAAAACCCCGAACATGCTTATGAATGAAAAGATCCTTGTTTTATACATTTCTGTTGCATAAGTTCTTATTATTTTTACAAGCTTTCGTCTGTTCCTACAGACAACCTCAGGTATGGAATAGATTTTGTTCTTGTTTTACTCTCAGTAATAAGAGGACAACGAAAATAGATGTATTGTAATCCGAAAAATGCTATTAGAAATGTGTTATTGTTTTGGAGCGTGCAGTCGCAACGCTGAGTTTGAATTTGAATTTTATGGTTGTGCGTTCTTGTACAAATATAGTGATAAGAGAATTCTTTTTTACTGGTAAATTTTCCGTCAAAGTGGCATGAACTATATTCTTCAATAATTACAGTAATGTCGCACTTATTATCCGAAAGTTGCACTTGGATCAGTTATTTTAATTTCAATAAAGGTGCAATTAATTTACAAATTCATGAATTATTCATACAAAAAACAAATACAAAGGTTAATGATTTAATTGGCGAGAAATCCATCATCGCGAACAATTCAAATAATATACAAAAACCCCGAACTTGTTTATGAATGAAAATATTCTTGTTTTATAAATTTCTGTTGCATAAGTTCTTTTTACAAGCTTTCGTCTGTTCCTATATGTATATATGTGTGTGAAAAGTGTATATAAATATAAATAAATATATATATGTATAATTATTTATATATTATATGCGCCGTACTTATTAGAAAGCGCTCAATATCAGAGATAGAGCTAAAATGCGAAACAGATCATGGTAGGGCCAAACGTCTCTCCATCACAATTTTACATTTGAAAATCATAGAACTGCGAAACCAATAAAGTTACTATAAATGAATATTCTTAAAGACTCTAGTTGCATTTTTAAGTTTTTTTCCTATATTGTTTTACTCGTCTGGGATATATTTAAAAAAAAATCTTACTTTCTTATATATGGAATATACAAAATACTTTACATTGACTGCACAACACTAAGTTTCATACCGAAGCATGAATTAACAATTATCAAGTATCGGTATAATTATTTTTTATTTTTTTGGTTGACAACGGTTTTGCAGAATTTCTGGATTACACGAGATACTTGATTGTTTGTGTAGAATATTATCTTTGTTAAAATATTTAAATGAATTGTGGTTTAATTTTGTTGAAATCAATGAACACTCTGATCTATATCTATTTATATATATATATATATTTATATATATATATATATATATGTGTGTGTGTGTGTGTGTGTACATGTGTGTGCGTGTGTCTTTCTATCTCTGCGTGTGGTCGTGTATCTATATATATATTATAGATTATTTAACATTGCTGTATGAGGACTGATTCAGACTGAAGATGGCATTGACGTGCGAAACTGACAGTTACAGTTTGTGATTCTTCCATTTATTCTTTACATATATATATATATATATATATATATATATATATATATATATATATATATGAGTTACTCCCAAATTCGCTTGAGGATGAAATGGAACTAATGTCTTTAATTTAATTACAAAATTAAATTCGAGGCTTTTTATAATATATATATATATATATATATATATATATATATATATATATATATATATATATATAAACACGCACATACACACACACACACACACACACATATATATATATATATATATATATATATATATATATATATATAAGATATGCAAACACTGAGTGCTAGTATTAATAAACAACAGCTAATATAACAATATAACACAGCTTTTTATTTTAAATATAAAATATAAATACCGTTTATTTATATATATATATATATATATATATATATATATATACATACGATATTTCTATAAGGTCTTAATTAAATTGTGTATGGTCATTCTGTCTGTGCGTGTGTGCGTGCATCTAGATATATATTAATATTTAATTAAAATTTGCTATATTCCGACTGTTTCAGAAAAAAACGATGGCATTAACAGTTGTGATTCTTCCGTCCACTCTTTCTTTATCTATCTATCTATCTATCTATCTATCTATCTACACACACACACACATATATATATATATATATATATATATATATATATATATATATATATATATATATATGTATGTATATATATATATATATATATATATGTCTGTGTGTGTTTTCTATTTACACATTATATTGTGTCACCCCTTCAATAAGAATCTCCAACGAGAAATCAGTTGGTTAACTATTACCCTATGGTAAGTCCGTCTATTATTTCTCAAGGACTTGCATTTAACTGTCTGTACTGGTAAAAAAAAAAGTGACTTGGTTCATTTGTTCAGTTGTTTTGTATCAACATGACGACTTTCAGTTCAGTCTGTAAAGAGGAAAGCGTCTTCTCTAGAGCCATTCTGGTGCGAAAGAAATGAACAATGTCTTATTTACCGACGTCACAGAAAAGTCTCGGTTTTATTCTTTGGGATTTTGCTTGCGTCTATTTTGGTTTTTTTAAACTCTACCATTGAGATGGAAGATGGACAACAATTTTGTTTTTTCTCATTCCTAGTGGATTTGCGGTTGGTGTAATGGAATGTGAAATCAAGACGTTGAGTTCAAAGTACAGTCGGCTTCGGTACAAAATACTTACGCGCAATTACCCCCTGGGAAAATTAGGAATCGACCTCCTTCCTTCAACTATGGGTTAAATATTAAGACATATTACTGGAAAAATCATTGTTATTTTAAAAACAATTGTTACTTGAGAAAAAAAAAGAATTAGTACAATAAAAAATATGTTTCAGACTTAAATGGCTGCCAAAGATTTGATAAACAATAGAATAAAACAAAAAAAAATTCAACAATCAAGAATCTTCGTTCCGCTTTCCAAGAGAAAAAAAGAGGGAAGAAGCTATGGAAAGAAAAATGGCGGAAACGTAAACGGAAAAGAAGAAAGTAATGCGGATGCTAAGCGCAAAGATGGGCAAGAAATTCAGTGGAAGTTTGTTGAAAGGAAAGAGAAAATGGCGAAAGGATCAAAGATGGCAAAAATGTAATTAGTCAAGTAAAAATGGAAGAAATCGGAGAGAAACGATTAAAACAAATAAGAACTGGAGAAAATTACGACGAAAGTTACAAAAGGAAATGCAATAAAGATAAGATAATGCAATAAAGATAAGATAGATATGAAAGAATAGATAGATAGATAGATAGATAGATAGATATAGATAGAGATAGATATGAATAAACTGAGACATTAAGGATAGATAGATAGATAGATAGATAGATAGATGATAGATAGATAGATAGATAGATAGATAGATATGAATAAATAGAGATAGATAGATAGAGATAGATAAGGATAGAGATAGATGATAGATATGAATAAACTGAGATATTAAGGAGATAGAGATAGATAGATAGATAGAAAAATGGAAAAAAATGCAATAGATACATGGGAACAAACAGAAATAAATAGTTAGAAACAAACGGAAATAGAAAGAAAGAAACGGAGATAGATAAAAACAAACATAGGTAGATAGATAGATAGATAGATAGATAGATAGATAGATAGATAGATAGATAGATAGATATGAATAAACTGAGACATTAAGGATAGATAGATAGATAGATAGATAGATAGATAGATAGATAGATAGATAGATAGGAACAAACGGAAATAAATATAGATTGATAGATAGAAACAAACGGAAATACAAAGAAAGAAAGAAAGAAAGAAACGGAGATAGATAAGAACAAACATAGATAGATAGATAGATAGATAGATAGATAGATAGATAGATAGATAGACTGTGTAATTTTTTGTCATAATGTACATTTGTCCTCTCAATGAGGTTCCTTGCCTTGATTATTGTGTGTGGGTCTCAAATTCATCCGAAATCTCAACAAAAACACACACACAGACACACAGGCAGATATACGTGTGTGTGTGTGTGTGTGTGTGTGTGTGTGTGTGTGTGTGTGTGTGTGTGTGTTTAAACTATCCGCAGCTAATACTAGAAAAGTGATCGGGTCCTTGTTCCTGTACAGAAAGTATCTCTCTCTTGCTGCTATACCCTAACTACACTTTGGTTTGATCTGACTGCAAGAGTCTGACCAGACAAAAAAAATGTATTATTATTGCCATATCTGTGCTGGAGCCCCTCAGTCCTCGCATTTCAGCCGTAAAAGAGTTCAAAAGCGTTTATGCAACACTGTAGGCGATTAATTGTATTCACCCTAACAACCCCTTTTCCACGCACAAAACGTCGCTAGCCTATCGCTAATCCATATAGATTTCAATGGAAAATGTTCAAACGAGCTTCACGCGTTTGTTCCATCAGCACAAACGTTTATACCTAGGTCTCACCATGCCAAATACACAGTAAAATTCATCCAAATATAATTCGTATTCCATTGATGAGAAGGAAGTTATACGCAAACAGTTTTTTTTTTCCCAAGAACGATAACTTTATTGAATAGACTATGTAGAGAATGTTTTCTGATTACAACACTCTAAAACTCTTAAGTCTACGGTCTTACAAATCCTGAACTTACTCCCTCCTCTTAGAGTACAGACAACGACCGCATTGAGTGACCTTTGAGCTTTGGTTAGGTAAACATTTAGCAAAAGATAGATCGATACATAGATAAAAACATGAGATAGATAGATAGATAGATATGAAAAGCATTAAATAGATAGATAGATAGATAATGAAAAGCATTAAATAGATAGATAGATAGATAGATAGATAGATAGATAGATAGATAGATATGAAAAGCATTAAATAGATAGATAGATAGATAGATAGATAGATAGATAGATAGATAGATAGATAGATAGATATGAAAAGCATTAGATAGATAGATAGATAGATAGATAGATATGAAAAGCATTAAATAGATAGATAGATGGATAGATAGATATGAAAAGCATAAGACAAAATCTATCGTACACTATGTCTGGGAAATTTTGTTTTACAGCCAGAAAACAGAATTTCAATTGCAAGTGTAAGCTTAAAAGGCAAAAATAAAAGCTGCTCTCATGAAAAAATACAAATAAAAAAAAGAAGTTGATTTTTTTTTTTTTACAGATGCCTATCGGACATGTACTCGACACATACGAAAATAACCAAGCCAATGATGGAATTGATATAAAGTGTTTTGCACGCTTTTAATTACCGTGATTCTATTGAAGGTGTTTTGCGTTTGGAAGCGATTAGAAGCCTCTAAAAAATCACTGGCTTGGAATTTGAAACGTTATAAATCCATTTTAGATCAATATCTCGAAAACTGGAGAGTGAATATCTTATCTGGTCAGAAGAGGATCGACGTCGAAGACATTTTCATATGTAAATATCTCAATGGGATTTTTTTTCAGTGTTTCTATCAAATACGAGAAACACTACAAACAATTTTACTTCAAACAAAAAAAGAAGATAACAAAGTTAATGCAGCAAAAAATGAAATTTAATATTTTAGTAAAATGTAAAATATTTTAAAATATTGATTATATTCAGTGTGTGAGTCTCGTAGGTTAAAATATTGCTTCGTGAATGACATTGTATTCGTGGGTTCAATCCTTTGTCCGGGTTGTATAGATTTAAAAATAGTGGAAGCAGAGCCTGTGATAAACGAGCAGTACTAAATACAAGCAAGACGGGATATACCTTGATATAGACGGAATGGGAATAGTCTAACCCGTAGATTAAATAAAGTGTTTAGTTCTAGATTCCTTCGTAGTTACATAGTTTGGCGAGGAATTGATGATGACCAGATTGCACGACGGTCGAAACGTTTTGATTTTAGCAACAAATATAAGCACAATATTGCGAGTGTAAAAAATATTCTTCGTATTGTATTTGCCTTGCCCATTCAGCGTTTTGGGGACCATGGCTCGTACAATTTCCTGGATTTGTAGCGCTGAATAAATTTTCTCTTTTTGTTATCTCTCCTAAAACCTTTCTACCATCCATTTACTAAAGTTCACTAGGAATGTTATAGGTTGTTTTCCTTTGTCCCTCTTGCTTTCAATATGCCCTGTGAGTATTAGATTTTCCAAGTTATCTTTCCTCATTATGCCCCCTATAAATTTCAATTCTCTCCTTCTGACGTTAAAATATGTGCCCATTTTGTTACGGACGTCTGAAAGTAAAACTTTAATGTCGTCTTGTTATGTGCATTTGTATGCATGTCTGCGCGTAAAATAATGCGCTGACAGAGAAAGTCATTTGTATACATATATGATAAAGAAAAGTGTTTTTAGTGGCAGAGGTACATTATAGAAATTCTGGAGTGGATGACGATTTTTTTTTTTTTGTTCAGTTAGATTTCCATTGCAAATTTCGATTGAATATTTATTTTTAGATGGCTCAGAAACGAAGCCTTCAGGGACGATTTTGATTGGATGAAAAATATCAGACGTTAACCTATGACTTTAATATATAATTCAATCGGAAGTAATGAATACTGATTGTTTTGGGGGGTTTTTTTTGTTTTGTTTTGTTTTTTTATTATTTTGTCTCCCACCCTGTGAGCTTCCAAATCTGGTGTAGGCAATGATTGGAATTCACGGCATAGTGATTCCTAATTATTAGAAGATTCAGCGTCATCAAAATCGACATTAGTCCCGTGAAATATGTGGTCGTAGTTTCACTGAGTATCTGTTTTAAAAAAAAATCATAATGTTAGGTTTTTCTAATGGTATTACAGTTTTCTTTTTGGAAGTCCATTTTATTAGCAATGATGATTGTTACAAGATTTATTAATGTTTTCCCATGTCTGCATTATCGGAGGGGAACCTTATAATACGAACATGGGATAACGGACCTCCCGAAAATGGCTAAGGATTTAGTCAAAAAACATTACGAGAAGTTTCTGCATTCTCACAAATCCTTCCAAAAATAAAAACTGTAAGAACAAAAAAAATAATAAAAGATTTTTTTTCTTTTTTATTATATAAAAGTCACCATGTTTAAAAGAACGTAAATTCACAATATCTGTCTATGAAATAATAAAATTTACTTAGATCGTTAAAGAATAGAAAATTGTGGAGAGCCATGATTGCTTACGTCCGGCGGAGGCAGGGCATATAAAAAGAGAAAGAAAAATGATGTTATTGTTCAATTAATTTTACACTTGTATTGTAACTATTATTCAGTATTCGTGATCGTAACTCCTGACAACAACCGCAGTATTAAGCTAACCACTATTGATCGATACAAGACGCCATAGTTGAATGTTTGTACTATAGATATCAATCCACTTGTATTGATCTATTGATGCTTGCCTAGCTATACAACTGGGCAGATGCAGCCCGTTCTACGTTTTCTATCATTAAGCCGACTAAATTCTTTTTTTTTTTTCTGGCTCCTCCCCCTTGACCTTCTGACTGGTTCAACATGTCAAAACGGACCTCTTCACAATGGCTAATGAATTGACCGAAAACGCTTGGGTCAATAAACATTACTGACAGATTCTTCCCTCTTTCTAGTCCTTCTCAAAACAAACATTTAAGAACACTGGAAAAAAAAAAACTAAGATTTTCCTTATTTCTTATATCCAATGGGCTATATTAAAAAGAAAGTTTGCTACCCAAATACATAATATCTATCTTCCACACCTCTCTCTCTCTCTATATGTATATATATATATATATATATATATATATATATATATATATATATATATATATATATATATATATGTATTCGTCTATAACTATCTATACATTTATATATATATATATATATACATATATATATATATGTATATATACCTTTTCATTATCTGTCTATTCTGTCTATTTCTCTCTCTCTCTCTCTCTATATATATATATATATATATATATATATATATATATATA